TGCTTAGCCCTGTGAAGGCGCAGGCTGGGTTCCGCAGGGTGGCAGGGATAAGATGGTGTCTTGGTTACTTCTCCCTGATCGCTGAGATAAAACATCTGACACCCAATATTAAGGAGGGAAGGGTTTATCTAACTCACAGTTGGTGGGGGTCTCAGTGTGTGATCAGCGGGCTCCAAGGCAGGGTGGCATGGCACAGGGGCAACCGATTAAGGGAGCAGAAGACTGCAAAGGCAACAAGAGTGAAGGGGAGGGGGCAAGCAAGCCTCTTCTCCTCCCTTACACTGTGTGCAGGCTTCCACCCCACACCATCTAGGCACCTTCCACTTGCACAAACTGAGGATGTTTACAGGGTAAGGACGCTGGTCCCTGCTGAGTCACTAGGTTAAAATTCTAAAGTTCACAAGTTGACACAATGAATAACATGTCCTTCGCACCCCAGGATCTATTTATTTTTTTCCATAATTTTATTGCTAAACAAATAGCAATGAAACAGTTTCAAATCAAATTGGTAGGACAGTTTCAATAATTCACACATTGCATACATTCTTCCCAGTGGTTAATTGCTGTACAAGATGCAGACATGATATCCTATTTACAAACACCATTAGAACAAATCACTCTATTCATTAAGAGAATGTAACTATATATCTATCCCAACCACCTTGAATACACAGATACAAAATGGACATTCATCTGTATACCCTTTTTTAAGTTCCGTTATTTGAATATTATAGGTGTGTAAACTCAGCAAAATATTCTAAAAGAGTTCAGTAGTCCATAATAGTATTGGGTCTTCTGCTTGACTGGCAATGTCAGAAATTGTTGACCTGAGTCCCCTATAGCTCAACATAACAGCATGGCTTTACTTCTTATATTTTGTTTTTATACTTTTCTGCTGGGTGGTTAAGACCAAGGCAAAGCAGGACCTATGCAACAAGAGTTGTAGCTTTTGGGTCTGATAAGGTCAGTGAAATCCCTTCAGGATTTATCCTGAGATCCTGTACCTCAGATTGTAGAACCTTTGTCAGTGTCAGTCATGTGGATGAGTCATGGCCATTGCTTGACCAATGTGCTCTTTGTGAAAACCTGACAGAATGTTTTCTCTCCATGTGACTCTCCTTAGGCACACTCTACATCATTGATCACTTTCCTCTTTGGTCCCATAATTTCCTTGATCAGAAACTTTGGGACACTACTGAGGTACATGACGTTACAGTACAAGTTCTCATATGTCCTGAGTCTTAATTGACCTTGGAAGGCTAGGGCCAAAATGTTGGCTTCCTTGCAGCCCTCCTTTTCATCTAATTTTGGTCTGCAAACTGAGGTTGTTAACCATCCAGAAGACAAGCTTATTGTTATTACCACAACTTAGGCTGTTAAGCTTAACCTCACTATCTGTCTGCATATCAAACATCTTAGGCATAATATGGAACAGGTATTTTTCATCACCCCAGGATTTAGAACAGCTGAGTTACTTAGGTAATATTCTAGACTTCAGATTGGTGCAATGCATCAACCATATCAGAAGTCCAAGCTAACCAACGAGGACCAATCCATCTAGAAAACGTCCCTGCTGGGAGCTTCCAGATCCATTCACCGAGAGCTGGTAGGAGCCTCATCTCTGTTGTCACAGCCTGCTCCTATCCCTGGGAAAATAGAGCTTTTGTGACAATGTTGTAGGCAACTGAGTAAGAGAGAACTATTATAGGGCAGTCAGACAAGGCTGGGGCCTCAAAGAAGCCAGTATGAAAGACAGGATACCTTGCAACTGTGGGAAAGCCAGGCACCTCCACTGTGGGCCAGACCTCAAGATAAAAGATTAAACAAAAGTAGCTTCATACCGCCCCAGGGATGGGCATCATGGATTGATATTCTAAACAAGTCTCTATCACCTTAAAAAAGCCAGAGAGCCTCTAGCCCAACCCCCTACAGGAAAAGCCCTGTTGTGTATTTAGGCCCGCTTGCTACATAATCAGCTTCCCGATTTGATCCTAATTTAATCAGTTCTACCTGAATAATTATACTCTTACTGGTTGACCATAGTTTTGTCCTACTTCATGCACACCTTGCAAGTTCCCATATTTCCTACCTTAGACCCACATCGCCCCATGGATTTGCTCTATAAGAATCCCTAGAAAAAGCAGGGTCCTTGGCAACCCACTCGCATGCTCTTATATCCCTTTTTCATTCAGAAGCCTTCTTTCTGAATAAAGATTTTCTGCTCTTAACCTCCATTGTTCCTAAAATTCATTCTTCAGTTTTAGAGAACATGAACTCGTCCCAGATATCTTTCAGTTTAGGAATTCCTTTCCCTTATATCAATAGTAATAATAAAGTGCTGATTTTTTTAAAAAGAAAAAAAACCACTTTGCTTAAAACAATTTTTTAAAAAACATTATAGATCAACTATATTGGAAATAGAAAACATTAAAGAAGGGAATGTTTCTATAATAAAATCTCAAAACACTAACAGAAGTTTCTGTATTCTCCATTAGATCCCAGACACAATTCTAGGCCATTGAGACACATGAATGAACAAAAAAGTTTGAAAAAATTAATGTGTATTCTGATAATAGATACAGCAATAAGCAAATGAATATAACATAAAATGTGTGGCGTTGTGGCGAGAAGCAGGGTGCTACGGTTGGCATCTAGATGTCCCTAGAAAGCCTCATGCTCCCACAAGAGGGCTTCTTGAGTGGTTGGGTCGTGGGTGTGTGATACTGGGCCGCAGGCTGCATAGGTCTTGATTATACCACTGATGGGTTAACATGGGTGCTAAGTGTGTCTGAATGGATTTACTGAAAACAGGCACCCCACCCTCTGTGGGAGGCACCAATGAGCAGGCCTGGAGCCTGAGCGGAGGGAGATAAGGGACAGAGAGGCTCAGTGCTTCACTGCTTCCTGCCTCCCCTGCTAAGGACTGTTTCTCTTCTGCCATGCCACTCTGCCATGTCATCCTGCCTTGGAACGAGCGAAATATGGACTGGAACCTCCGTAGGCTGAGCTACAATAAGTCCTTCCTCCTTTAGCTTGGGGTGTCAGGTATTCTGTCTCAGCTACAAGAAAAATAATTAAGACACACAGGTTGCAGAGTGAAGGGAGGACACCTTCAGAGAGACGAGTAAGGAAACAGCAGTGGAAATAAGACCTGACAAATAAGAGAAGACGTGTGAGCATCACGTGCAGGTACATCTATTTCAGGGAAACTTTTGCAAAAGCCCTCAGGCAGCAGCAGTGCTCAACATAGGCGAGGAACAGAACTGAGCTGAAATACAATAGAAAAGCCATGTTTCATGGGACTTTTTGTGAAAGTGGCTGTTCGTCTTCCACACACTGGTTTAAAATACCGATTATACAGCATGATATTAAAATATCAATTATACAAAAAGATTTTTTTTAAATACTTTTGAATAAAATACATGTTCTGAATAAAAAATAATAATGTGATCAATATGTGGGCCATGCTTGTGTCAAGGCAATAAAAAAGCAAAAACAATACTGATTTTGAAAAAAAAAAAACTAGGATGGAGTGATAGCTCCGCCACCTAAGCTCCTGCCTGGCAAGCTCAGGATCCTGAGCTGGACCCCTGGTACAGCAATAAAATAAAATAAAAAATAAAAAACAGACTAACCAAAAAGGAGCCCTTTTCCTGATGTGATATGACAAGTATATTTTCTCTCAGATGAAATTTTAAGTTTTCAATTTTTTTTTAATTTGTGTGTGTGTGTGTGTGTGTGTGTGTGTGTGTGTGTGGCCAGCTCAGCCCACCAGGGGGCGGGGCGGGCTGGCATGTGGTGCTGGGGGATTGAACCGCGGTCCCTGTGCTTTGCTAAGCTTGTTCTAAGTAGGTGCTTTAGACCACTGAGCCATCTCACCAGCCCCTTAAGTTTTCAATTTTTAAGTAGAAAAAATTTCAAGAACCACTATTTTTGGAAGATTAGAATAGTGACTTAAAAATCTGATAAAACTGCATTTTAATTTTTGGACTTTGACTTCCACTATATTAACAAATACGCTTTCAAGAGACTTGTGCTCTATATGAATTAAGCAAAAGACACTTAATTGCGTACTTTTGCCACTGAGATTTCCATAATTCTGTAGTATTGCTTTTTCAAACTAGTTTAATTTACAAAAACAAATCTATCTTTATATCTTCAATACAAATTCTTTTCTGGCATTCACTACACATCTTTTTTCTGGCCTACAGGATAGATGCATAGATAAGAGGATGTGTGTACTACCTTCATGAGAACATTAAATGAGAGCAACAGTTATGCAAACCCAATTGCTTTCATGTTATTTGCCCTGTGATATTAGTCCTCCTGGAATTTTTTCTCCACCACAACTAATCAAAACAATATCTTGCAGTAGAGGTGGAAGCAAAAGACAAAAAGCCTACTGCTTCAAATAAAATGTGCTGTATTGAATCCCGGTTCTGCCACTTACTGAGTGATGTGTGTTAGAAGTTGTTCCACTTTGGGGCTGGGGAGATAGCTCAGTGGAATAAGAGATTGCCTGGCAAGTACAAGGTTCTGAGTTTGATCCCTGGTGCTACAAAAAAAAAGAAGAAGAAGAAGAATTTACTCCACCTTCCCACAGCATATGCTTCTATAAACTAAGTCCATCATTTCTTATTCTTTTAAATGGATGCTACCAAGATCCTAGCTATCGGGCTGGTAGGCTACTCAAAGTTGGTATCTGCTTAGTTATTATTTGTAGTAAGCTTTTGGAAACATCGACATTATTATTACAACTACTATCAACTGTAAATCTCAATTTGTGGACAGCAGCCCCGACAGCCTATGCTCAGATGTCTTGTACACCTAAGCCTCCCAAGATGGCCTGGTGACTTTAGAGGACTTGCTCAGGTTTGTGTTACTAAGTTACTTATGGAAGACAGCACTTTTGTGACCCTGAATCTCCGGGGAGTGACACTGTGCCCCTTGCCACCATCCAATGAAGAAAGGCAGGCTGGCACGCAAGAAAATAGTAACCAGTGCCTCACTTTGGCAGCATGTATGCTAAAACTGGAACAATACAGAGAAGATTAACATGGCCCCTGCGCAAGAATGACATGAAATTCATGAAGCATTCCATATTCTTAGGAGTCAATACAAATGATATAAAAAGAATATGGTCATAAGTAGTAATAGAAAACTTATCAAATATGGGGAAACAACCTGACATTCAGGTAACCGAAATACATACAACTCCAAATAACATTAACCCAATTAAAAACACATCCAGACATATAATAATCAATATCCCAGAAACTTAGCATAGGAACAGTATACTAAAAGCCGCTAGAGAAAAGGAATAGATCACATTTAAAAGAAAACCCATCAGAAAAACAGCAGATTTCTCTTCACAAACCATCAAGTCAAGAAGAGGATGGAGCAGAGTACTTCAAGTAATGCAAGAAAACAAACTCCAACCCAGACTGACACACCCTGCAAAACTCTTTCAAGTTTGATGGAGAAGTGAAATACTCCCATGACAAAGAACAACTAAAGAATTTCATGATGACAAAGCCAACTCTACACAAACTACTAAAAGATATTCTAGAGAGGGATCAGAATGACCACAACTCCATGAATGAGAATGGAAAGAACCCACCAAATAGGGCAAACAATTAAACACAGGAGCAAAAGAGGCGTACAACAGCAGTCTTTCAGTTATTCTTTTGTATACAGCAGCCAAATATTTCCATCAGCATACCCTACAAATGGACTTCTCCTGCACCCTAGGGGTCATGATTACGACTGGGTCTACGGGATGGAGATCAAGAAAATAGCAGTGGTTCAGTCCCACAAGTGACACCTGGCCACCAGTTAAGTGTAATGGACACTGTCCATGTTCACCACACATTAGAACTTTGTGCAATATCCTATCCCCAAACTGTTAGAAGTGCTGGTCATAGATTTGCCATTCCAGTATTTTTGTTATGTTTTCTTCTTAGTAATTCTTTACTATCATGAAAGCCTTTTCTTAGTTGATTTTTTGGTATATTAACCTAATCAAATACTGTGTGAGCACTCTGAATTGATCACGGATTCATACATATGATACACTACATTCTGCCCTCTTAGTTGGACTCACAATTTAATTTTAATTTTTGAATATTATTTTGAAATATTTAATTTTTAATTAATTAATTTTAATTAGTTTTATGAATATTGTTTAATTTTAAGTTTTGTTTTATGATTTATATTGTTTCTTTGACTTACAATCTACTTATAAGACATGGTATGATATTTTCTCCTAGTATTACAAACTTTAAAAATTTAGTGTATTTCCATTTTCCATTGACTTTATATTAGTTCTTGTCTTTTACACACACACACACACACACACACACACACACTCACACACACGTGAAAAAATATATATATAACCTGACATAAGATTGGTACTGTTTTGTGGAAATCTTCAATGGCCTTTTAAGTGGGTTCATCTAGTATAATTCTATTACATAGTCCTGCATAACTACCATTTTGAGAGCTCTTTATTCTTTATCCAGGACCATGTAGCTACTTCTCTTGCCTTCTGCATTATGGTCTTTGTTCTTTTCTATATGCTGCATCTGGAGGTATTAGACTATTTTGAGTTTCTATAACTGGAAAATGTTTTACTTTTAGTTTTAAAAGGTATGTTTGCTAAGTATAAAATTCAACGAGGACAGGTTTTTTTCAGTCCTTTGAATAAAAAAGTCTACTTTCTTACGCACTTCCTCTTTTTTTTTCTTTTTTTTTCCCTTTATTTTTTCCTCTTTTTTTTTTCGAATGTGTAATAAGATGCTATTTAATTTTGTACTTCCATAGCTAATTTTTTTTCTTGTGTATGTTTTAATGATTTTTTTCTTTATAATAGTTTTGGACAATTTCATTTCTGTGTATCTTGATATTATTTTATTCATGTTTCTTGTGAAAAAGGTTCATTTTTCTTGGAGATGTGGTGCAATAATTTTAACTAAATTCAGAACTTTTATATCTTTAAATATTTATTGCCTACCCCATCCTACTTTGAGAATTCTAATTATATGAATATAAGTTTCTTAATTTCGGCACAAGATGAATTATTATATGGCTGATCTGTAAACTCTTCTTCATGTTTATTTTAGAGAATTTTGATTGTTATATTCATCTAGGTTTGTAAATTTTTTACAATGTGCAATCTATTGTTAATTTCATGGTATGTATTCATTTCAGAACTATTTCTCAGGGTTGGAGAGATGGCTAGTGGAATAAGT